AACATTTATTTGACATTGATTGGGCACTTTTGATTCAAATGTTGGTTATAAAAAATATTGGAGTGATGTTTTTCTTACATATTGTTTTCTCATTAATCGTATGCCATCTTCTGTGTTAAGTGGCTCATCTCCTTTTTTTTCTATTTTCTTTCCTTCACAATCTCTGTTCCCTTTGCCTCCATATGTCTTTGATTGTGTTTGTTTTGTTTATTGCTTGGGTCTACCGTTGGAGAAATTGGATGCTCATGCTCTTAAATAAGTCTTTTTGTGGTACTCTCGAACCCAAAAAGGATATGAGTGCTACAGCCCTTCCCTTTGTTGCTTCTTTGTTATTCCCAATGTGACCTTACTTGAAAATGTTCCTTTCTTCTCCTCAGTTAAGTCTACTTCTCTTGATACTTTATCCCCACCTCCTCTTCCCTTACCAATGGAGGAGGTGTCTATGATTGCTCTTGTTGCTCAAGAGTTGATCCGACCACCGCTCCAATGCATGTGTGCTCATGGCCCTCGTGGTATTGTGTTTTAGCCTTTCTAGCTCCATCTCAGCCATCATCAGCTACTTTGTCGATGGATCCATCTCAGTTAGATCTCTCCATTGTGCTTCGTAAAGGTAAATGTTCTTGTACTGAACATCCTATATCTCGTTATGTTTCTTTTGCCCATTTATCCCCATCCTATCGGAATTTTGTATCCCTTTTATCTTCTCTATTTGTTCCTAGATCTCTTCATGATGTTCTTCATTCTCTGGAATGGAAGAGGGTGATGGATGAAGAATTTCATGCTCTTCAATGTACTTAGGACCTTACTTCTCTACCTCTAGGGAAGAAAGCAATTGGTTGCCGGTGGATTTACATTGTTAAGCATCTTGCCGATGGTAGTGTTGAGAGATATTAAGCTCACTTTGTAGCCAAAAGTTATACAAAAATCTATGGAATTGATTATACTAATACTTTTTCACCTATAGCTAAGTGGGTTTAGTCCAGGTGCTTATTTCCTTGGGTGCACACTTTGATTGACCTTTGTTTTAGTTGGATATTAAAAATCCATTTCTTCACAAGGACCTAGAAAAGGAGGTGTATATGGAGGAACCTCCTGGGTATGTTGCTTAGGGGGAGGAAGGTAAAGTGTGTTGGTTGAAGTGATGAGTATGGCATTGAAAAGCTTAAACAATTCTTATAAAGCCAGTTCCAGACTAAGGACTTGGGGCACTTGAAATATTTTATAGGCATAGAAGTTGCAAGGTCAAACTGGGGAATCTTTTTCTCACAAAGAAAGTATGTGGTTTTCTTGTTGGAAGAGATTGGTTTATTATGGGCAAAGCCAGTGGATACCCCTATAAATCCAAATGTGAAGATATCCAATAGTGAGGGGAACCCCTAGTTGATCCAGGACAATACAGGAGAGTAGTTGGAAAACTTATTTATCTTACCATCACAAGACCAGACATTTCCTTTAGTGTTGGGTTATTATGCCAATTCATGTAGAACACAAAGACAATGCTTTGGGAATATATTGTTAGAGTTCTACGCTATTGGAAGGGTGGTCCAAGTAAAAAGTTTTTGTATAAGAAAGGGATAGAACTTTCCTTAGAAGGACACTGAGATGCTGATTGGGCAGGATCAATTATTGATAGGAAATCAACAACTGCTTATTGCATATTTTTGGTAGAAAATTTGATTATTTAGAAAAGCAAGAAGTAGAATGTGATGGCTAGGAATAGTGCTGAGGTAGAGTACAAAGCCATGGCCTACACTACATGTGAGTTGGTTTGGTTGAGACACCTGTTACTAGACCAAGCAACCATTCATATATCCTCTAATCTAGTGTATCATGAAAGAACTAAATACATAGAAGTGGATTGTCATTTCATGAGAGAGAAGGTGATTAGTGGAGAGATTACTACCCCATATCTGAAGATCAACTAGTCGACTTATTTACCAATGGCTTAAGCGGTGCTCGGATGAAATACATTTGTAACAAGTTGGAGCTGTATGATATATATTCTCCAACTTGAGGGGGAATGTTAAAATACAATGTCTTTGTAGGGTAGTTTGGTCCTTTTCATTTCCATTTTAGGTTTTGTTTTGTCTTTATTCATATATTAAAGTTGCAGGGGTATTATTGTAATTTTCTTTTCTTTTGAATATAACATATTGGGCGGTAGCTGTGTCTCTATCTACAGAGATTGTTTGCCCTATTCTGTTCATCTCCCTCTTCTTCTTCTCCATCACTTCTCTATCCATACTTATACCAGAACCTTTTTCTTTATTGATTTAACTAAATACATGCCTAATAACAAAGCTATTCAGTTCTGCTAATTTAACAGGCATAAAAAACCCCTTACATTATTGCTCCATCAACTGAGTTGGAATATCCTCCCAACAAAAAACTATCCCAGTACAGTTCAAACATGATTTGTGCCCACACATCTTACCATGCATGAGATGTGTGGATAGATCATGTTGGAACTTGTTCAGACAGTTTTTTTTTTGTTGGGAGGAGATCCAAACTCCCCATAAATCGAATCTCCTCATATAATGGTCATCACACCCACCTCAAATCACTTGCAGCCATGCATTGGGGATACACAAGTATGGGAGATGTTCATCGAATGGTCCTACACTCACTTCATAGCACTTGAATCCACATAATGGGAACATACAAGTATGGGAGATGTTCTCCATGTGAGGCTACAAGATGATTGGATTGGCTCCATACAAAGCATCCCCCACATGCACCCCACAGTAAATCCCAACCATGTATTGGGAACATCTCCCCTTGATTTGAGATGTGCAGTGAGGAGTGTGTAGGAAGCCAATATGGACTCAGTTGCAACATGCTGTAAGGGAGATTAGATGAGTTCGGCTTTAGTTAGGGCAAAGCCCATTCAAGCAGCCTTTACTTCCATGCATCGAGAATATCTCTATACTTGTGTACTTTATTTCATGGGGAGATACTCCCAATGCAAGGTTGCAAAAGGCTGTTAGAACGATGTGGGCATAGATTTTCCCTGATAGATACTCCCAATACTCCCAATGCAAGGTTGCAAAAATGTACTTTCTTACATTTTTCTTTCTTTCCCTGCATTTTCCTTCAAACCAAACATAACCTTAATTAACAACCTCTTGGATTAAAATTTGGGTAAATTTCTTAAACAACCCTTATGGTTTAGTTAATTGACTAAGTGTACCCTTATTGTTTGAAAATTGATGGACACTACCCCTATTATTTCTGACAATTGACTAGTTCTACCCTTACCTTTTAAATCCGTTAATAAAATATTAACGAAAGACTAAAATGTCTGTTTTACCCTTGAAAGCTCCTCTAATTCTTCTTCAGTCTGGTCTTCGCCACCTAAGTCTAGTCTGGTCTTCATCGTCGTCATCCCTGCAACTTGTGGTAGTAATCTTCTTCCTCCACTTCCTCCCCCTCTTCGTTTTCCCCTCACCTCCCCTATATATAATCCCATCTCAGTTTCCTTATCTGAGATTAGGAGGGAAGCTATGGAGGAGGTTTGATTAATAACAGATTTGGTCGAAACAAGACAGTTCAAAGGATTAAAGAGAACAAACAGGAAGAACTTAGAAGGAGACTTGGATGGGCGGGATCTATGAACGGATTTGAAGGAGCTTTGAACAGTAGTGGATCTGGTTGCAGACTAGGATGGCGGTGACCGGTAAGGAGATTTTCGAGCAGCACACGACTAGACACCAAAAACATGATTGTTTGTTTCGACTTGGACGGCGATGACCAGTAAGGAGATTTTCGAGCAGCACTCAACTCGAGACCGTCAGCCTTCTTCTCCAACCTTGAACGATGGTGACTAGTAAGGAGATGCTCCATTTCTTCTTCCCTTTACAGAGATGGACGATAGCAAAGTCGACGGAGAACCCTGCATCTGTTTTAAAATTGGTCCCGAGTAAAAAGTGAGCCTCCCTCGATCATACGCTGTTGGATTTAAAATTGGTCTTTAAAATTTGAAACCCAGAGTACAAGAGGACACATACTTTTTTCCATGAGTCAAAATAAAAGGAGTGAAAACTGAAAAGACGCAAACGCTCCTACAGACTACGGTTCTTCCTCTTTGATTTTTTGTCCTTTACAGAGATGGACGATAGCGCTGGCCCATCAAAATGGGTGATTCATCTGGTGGTAGCACTGATTATACTTGAGAAGGAGGAGAGAGAAAGAGACAAAGAACTCTACTGTTGTCCATCTCTTCGGTGGTGCTGCTTATGCATCAATGGCTTCTATTGTTATATCCAAGAGAGCTTGGAGCCAGGCAATGATTTGCAAGGTTTGAAACCAACGACAATCTAGTATTGATTGATGATCGGAGGAAGATAGAGGGAAGATGGAGAGAGGTTTGAAGAGGAAGGGGACGATGCATGGTAACATTGGATAAAAGAGAGAGAAAGAGGGGGAAGAGCGAGAGGTTGGAGGTGAGGTGGAGGGTAAAATTGGGTTTTAAAAAATTATATGTCATGTGCATATGAATTTTGACGGAATATTAACAAAACCTGACGGTAAGGGAAAAGCTAGTCAATTGTCAGAAACAACAAGGGTTGTGTTAGTCAATTTTAAAACAATAAGGATATACTTAGTCAATTAGCTAAACCATAAAGGTAGTTTAAAAAATTTACCCTTAAAATTGGATAAGAACAATTTTACGTAATGCTATAGATATTCAATCAAGTTGTTTAAGTTGAAGATTCCATTTTGACCGTTTCTGCAAGGGAGACGTGTCAATATGAGATGACGCGGAAAACATCACACGTTAACGGTCCTCATGAGATGGTATACAATAGTTTTGGTGTATAGTACCACCTCATTTGTCGTGTACCTAGGACCTGATGTGCACGTGCCTGTTTTGCAGATCTCTATGATCTGAGGCGCCCATTTGTGAGGAGCATCCCGTCTCCTAGGGTCCACTGCCACATGAAAACTCCTGCAAAGTACACTCCACCTGTAACTTTCCCACTCGCCATAAATCTTCTCTCTCTCCCTCGATACTCTTAACGATACTCTCTCGTCTCTCCTAATTGTCTTTCTCTGCTCTCCGCTCTCGCGAACTGCAAAGAGAGAATTCGAAGAAGAAACGAAGCAAGAAAGGAGAGATGTTATCTCTTACTCTAACCTCTGCACAGCCTTTCTCCGTTTGCAGGCTACAACAGAGTAAACAACGGTTCGCTTTCCTCGACGACTCTCGATATCCAAGATATCATTTTCATCCGTTGAGGTGAGTAGAGATATCTAAATTGCTTCATTTAAATTTAATGAAAGAATCTGCTCATTGGAATCACTGAATATTTGCAGAGTGTCGCCCAACCTTCGTCAAATGAACAAGAAACGGCGAGGATTTGGCGCTGTTTGCTACTCTGCTCCTCTTACTCCTCAAAATCTTCAATGGGTCTCAGCGGTTGCTTCCGCGTAAGTCTCTCTCCCCATGTCTCAGTATACTAATTTTCGAATGTTTGGAAGTTGGAATAAATGGTATTGCGAAGAGGTAGCTCGATTTAGATTACTGTAAGGGTGTTTAAAATGCTAAAATAATTTGTTTTACTTGATTTTCCATTTCTGTAGAAATACCAAAAGAAAAAAAAAAAGAATTTGTGTCTTGAACCAGTGATTTTCTATCTAAAATCCTTGGATGGAATTAAGGACATTGCGGAGTCATCTTGCCTGCCAGGAATAAATTTCGTCTGATATTGCAATGTTAGTTGTTTTGGTATTGTCTTAAGGGCATATATTTAGGTAGCGACTAGGTTTGAAATGAAAATATCGTGCACAAGGACAGCATTTGTAAAGTGGGTTTTGTTTAGTGAACTATGATCCTAAAAATGAAATGGAGCAAAAATAGGTGTAATAGAGTTTAACATGCCTCATGGGTCTAATTTCTGCAATGATATTTCCTCAAAATTATATAAGCTACAATCTTTGAATGCTTAGCCATTATCAATATAAGCATCACCTTTCACATTGTATTGGGTTCGGGGCCAACTTGTGCATGGATTGGACTAGGCGCCAAAAAAATCAGAGATGGAAAAAAAGTGCTTGGAACAAGGAATGAAGAACTGAAAGATTCTAGTGGTTTCTTGTAAATCTTTATGTAGCAGAAAATTAATATATAATAGCATCTTGAATAACCAAGATCACGCCCATGATGGTGCACAAAACCATAGTTTAAAAAACTAGCTAAATTGCATACCTATTTGTAGGTCGATTTGCACTGAGAGAGTCTGGAAGAAGATGTAGATTCAAAATTTCAGCCTTACAATTGTTTGGCCTCTAAACCAGTCCACACGAAGCAACAACATTCCAAAGCTCCCTTTCACAATGAGGATGGTGATCCAAGAGAGAAAGGGAGAGAAAAGAGGGTTGGGGTGAACCAGGAGTTGTGCACTTGTGCTAGAAATCCTTCTAAGAGATTAGGATTTTAGAGAACTAGGAGAGTCTCACATTAAACCCTAGGCCGCCCCTCTCTTTCTTATATAGAGTTGTGCTCCTTTTCTTATTAGGAGTCCCTATCTCATAAGTTTTCTCTGAATTACAATCAGGTCCCCTTTAATTATAAACTGGTCCCCATGTCTGGTATGAATTATACAACTGAACTACTCTTATAATGGTATAAAACTAGCGTGATGGAAGGTAGGGACCAAGGGGATGCAAGATATTCAGAATCTGCCATGGGCTTTACTCCGGCAATGAAGTGGGAAGGAGGTGATGGTTGAAAAGAAAGTTTTCTTGTTTGAGGAAACAAATGGAGGCTCTTCAGTGAAAACCAAAGAGGATAGGAGATCTATGATGATTATGTTTAAGGATTCTCTGGACTGGTTTAAGGGATTCATTGATGGGGCGGTGTTAACCTCCACTTCACCAGGTTGGGGGAGTGAGATTAGCAAGGAGGGAGAACTACTCTGAAACTGTGAGATGCAATGAAAGGGGTTCCTTCATCTTGTTAATTGAAACCTTCGGAAACAATTGAAGGCAACTCATTTGTTTTCCAGAGGGAAGGGGAAAACTTGGCTGGGTCAAGATTGCGGAGGTATTGGAGGACTTAGCACAAAGAAGGTGGCAAAACAGGTTAGGGCATGGGGTGCCGATTGTGAAAACTTCCGAACTGGTAGTGGGGCATGGTGAAAAGGAAAAAGAGGACTTCAAGGAGGAATTAATGTGCAGTGGTTTGACTCTAGTGAATGTAAAGACTGATTTCTGTCGCTTGGGAGCACCCTTTTATGCTATATCTTATGTACATTATTCTTTCTTTATTTTCTTGTAAAGTCACAGCTGTCCTTCACAGTTGTCCTTTCCATATTTGTGTTATTTAATTCTTTATTGTAAGAGAAGGACACAGCTGTCCTATCCATATTTTTGGACACTACTCTTCTATATAAGAAAATCCTTCAGGGCATGTAGATAATGAGACACACCCTTTCATATTCTCTGTGCAGTTTGGACTGTCTCTGTAATGGTACCAGAGCAGGATCAATCCTAGAACTGCTGTAGCTCTTTCTCTTGTCTGCTGTCTACTTCGAATGAAGTGCATCAGAAGTCATATCTTCTCTGTAATCTTTGAGATTGATCCTCTAAGGGCTGTTTTGATCAGTCTTCTTCTGGGCTGTTTTATAGTAAAGGACGAGTACCAGGTTGGTGTTTGCTTCAGTTCTCTCTCCTGATTTATTGGATAGCCCTAAAACCCTAGATCTGGTGTCACCCAGATCTACTCTTGCTTCTCATATCATTGCTTTGTAGTTGGGTTCCTTGCTGGTAAGTTTTTTTTTTGACTTCATCTTTTTGGAATCGACCCTGTACTTTCTTTTTCTAGACTGTCAATATTTCAGCAACTTCTGGGTAGCTTTTACTTGATAAAATCTGTTCTCACTTAGTTATATCAGATCTGTAGTGTTTGATCTGAGACTTGCTCTATCATTTTTACTTGCTGGAACTTCAGTTCTTGTTGTTTTTCTTACTGAAATGATTTTAGACAAGAGAGATTTATTGTCAATCAAATTCGATGGAAGTAACTATGCCCTATGGAAGTTTCACTTCCAATTTTATGTTGAAGGCCAAGGACATTGGGGCTATGTGGATGGTTCGGTTGTCAAACCTGATGAACCTGATAATAAAGGGCTTAAGCAGTGAAAGATAGATAATGCAAGAATAACTTTATGGTTTCTTGGTTCGATATTCCAATGAGGAGCTTCAAGACTGCAAAGGAGATGTTTGAGTACATGGAAAAGGTCTACCAATAGTCTAACTTATCTAAATATCAAATTGAAACAGAAATCTTCTCTTACATCCAAGGGGAGAATTAGACTCAAGAGTGCTTTTCTGGTTTCATTAATTTGTGGACTGAATATGAATCGGTACACATGGGGGACTCTTTGTCAGCATGTTGTATCAAGACAATGAAGGAACATTTTGACAAAAGGAAGATTATGCATTTCCTGATGCATTTACTGCCTGAATATGAAGTGAGTAGATCAAATATTCTGAGTAGAGACACTACCCCAAATCTGGATGCTTTGTTGGGAGAATTCCTCAGGGAAGAAATAAGATTGGTTACTCAATCCACCATTAATGGGAAGCATGAATATGGAACTGGAACTGTCTTCTTTGCAAACAAACTAAAGCAAAAGAAGGATCTCTCTAAGGTACAGTGTTACGAGTGTAAGGAATATGGTCATGTTGTCTTTCATTGCTGAAAGAACACTTGTACCTATTGCAAGCAACCTGGACATATAATATCTGAATGCTCCACTAGGCCATCCAAGGAAAACTCCTCAGCATACAAGAAAAATCAGTATAGAGCTTATCAGACTACTATGGATGCTTCAGATGGTGGTACATATTCTTCTTCTTCTGCACCAACACAAGTCAAAGGTGAGTCTTCTGGAGGTATAACTGAGGAAAAGATGTGACAGCTGGTGTCTTCATCCATTTCTTCTGCATTCTTTGCTATTAGGCTATCTGGTGAGTCTTCCCTTTCTTGTTCTTCTCTTAGTCATCTTTGGGTAATTGACTCCAGTGCCTCTTATCATATGATAGGGGCATATTCTGGTCAATATTTTAAACCTAAAGTCTTCAATAAGCATATCATTGCAGCTAATGGTGAGAAACTTGAGATTCTTGGCTCTAATGATTTGACCTTACATACCTCTTCTTCTTCTTCTTCTTCTTCTTCTTCTTCTTCTCAGTTTCACCTTCCTAAAATTCTTCTTGTTCCCAAACTTACTACTAATTTAATTTCTATTGGACAATTAGTAGAAGATGGTAGCATTTGTTTCCTTTTCTCGTGATGGATGTTTGATCCAAGACCAGTGAACTGGGACGGTAAAGGGGAAGGGGCATAGGTTGGGACGGCTATTCACTTTGGAGTTTGAGAAATCACAGTTTTCACCAAATTTGTCATGTTTAGTTTCTACTACACCTAGTATTGAACTTGTTTGCAGTGAGTGGCAGCTTTGGCATAGACGCCTTGGCCACCCTTATGTTAAGAAACTTGAATCTTTGTTTCGTTTTGGTTGTTTATTATCTACTGTTGCTTCTTTTGCTCATATTAATAAATCTTGCATTTCATGTGGTTTGAGTAAAGGACATGTCTTACCCTTTCCCTCTACTACTGAACACTCTTTAGTTCCCTTTAAATTGATTCACAGTGATGTTTGGTTGTCTCCCATACCCTCAAGGTTGGGGTACCGATACTTTGTTATATTTGTGGATGATTGCACATGATATACATGGATATATTTTTTAAGACAAAAGTCAGAAGTTTTCCCTACCTTTAAATTGTTTCAGGCTCTTGTTAAAAACCAGTTTAGTGCTACGATTGGTGTTTTCCGAATAGATTTAGGGGGGAATACCTTGATGGAGATTTTCAGACCTATTTGAGGGAACTGGGGATTCAATCACAGAGATCCTGTCATGGGACCCCACGACAAAATGGGGTGGTAGTGCTGAAGAATGGACACATATTGAGTGTGGTGAGAACCTTGTTGCAAGACTCCCATGCACCCACTTTCTTCTTCATGATGTTTCTCCCTTCCAATGCTTATTTCATCGGCATCCAAACTTTTCTTTGCTTCACGTTTTTTATTGTGCTTGCTTTGTTCATCTTTCCCCCCATGAACGCACAAAGCTCACACCTCAGTTGGCTTTGTGCATAGTTGTCAAGGCGACTAGGCGAGGCTAGGTGACCATGGGGCGCCCAAGCGCCTAGGCGACGACAGAAGAAGAAGAAGGAGGGAGGAGAATACCACCCCTGTTTTTTTGAAAAAAAAAATATTGAATTTGGGTTGGAAGAAGAGGAGGAGGAGGATGAGGCGCCCCTGTTACTGAAGCTGGATTTAGGCGCCCACCTAAGTCTTTGGGCGGTCGCCTAGTATACAAAACTATAGGCGTTTGGGCGAGGCGACACTGTAAAACCGCCT